GGCATCCTATTGTACGTGTTGTATTGGATGTAGACTCGATGAACAAGGTCAAAATAAAAACACTGGTGAAACTAACAATGATAACATAAATAAGAGAGAATAAAAGTCATCTACAGTTATACCATATATAAAGAGGGGTCAAATGACGCTACACACGTAGGTTTCTTAATAAAGCAGGAATTAATGTGGCATTTAAACCTTCAAACTCACTCAGGTAAGACAAGCTCTGTAGGTTAAAGGACCCTGTAGGATGACCTAATTATACAAAATAATATAATTTACAAAATACCTTACAATGACTGTGAGTGTGTTCAACTATATAGGTCAGTCAAACTAGTAGATGAGACAGGAGTAGATAGATTGTCAGAACATAAGAATTTAGCTTAGGTTAGAGTGCTTGAGAAAATTTTGTTTTGATAAAGTCTCACAGTGTTATACAGTAATGCTTACTGATGACGTTTCGAGCACAATTTATTGCTCATAATCATATCAAGGTAATCACACGACTTCCTAAATTCATTTATATAGTTCCATTGTTTTTCTCTTGATTTTCACTTGATTTGATTGGTAATAGTATTTTCCATATTTCAGGTATGAGTGACGAGTCATTCCTATTGCATGTGTTGGGTGTAGACTCGATGAACAAGGATTCAGTAATCAACCTCTCTCTCCACCTACCTAGATTACTTTTTAGAATTTTAACCCTCTCCCACCCTATTGTGTGGTTGTGTGTTAGCGCATGCATTGCAATCGCTGAGCTTTTTTCTAAATTATTTATCTTTTCGGGGTCAACCATTCTTACCTTAGCTAAATTTTTATGCTCTGACAATCTGACTACCCCTGACCTACTAGTTTGACCTATGCAGTTGACCTCACAGTCATTGCATGGTATTTTGTAAATAATATTAGTTTGTCTAATTGGTTCAACTGGGTCCTTTAACCTACAGAGCTTGTCCCTGAGTGAGTTTGTAGGTTTAAATGCCACCCTAACTCCTATTTTATTCAGAATCCTACGTAGTGTCTCAGATGTCCCCTCTTTATATGGTATAACTGTGGATGACTTATATTCTTTCTTATTTATGTTATTATTACTAGTTTCACAATTATTTTTATTTTGTTTTTGGCCTTTAATGATCTTCCTAATGAATTTTATAGGATAGTTATTCAACACCAACGCTTCTTCTATCTGTTTTAATTCATCATTTAGATCTTTTTTTTGTGCTACTTAGTGCCACTGCTCGGTTTGTTAAACATATATAAATGAATTTAGGAAGTCGTGTGATTACCTTGATATGATTATGATCAATAAATTGTGCTCGAAACGTCATCAGTAAACATTACTGTATAACACTGTGAGACTTTATCAAAACAAAATTTAGCCATAATGGAATTACACTCTACCACAGTGCACAAGTTTTATTCTTATATCTAAAATTGCTTGACCCCATTAGAGAAGATAAGTAATTTAGAAAAAGCTCAGCACTATATTGCACTGCATGCATTAACAACGCACAACCACACAATAGGGTGGGTAGGAGAGGGCTGAAATTCTAAGAAGTAATATAAGTAGGTGGAGATAGAGAGAGATTCATTACTGAATCCTGCCTGGTTCATCCACTGGTCTACACCCAACACGTACAACAGGATGCCATGACTCATCATTCATACTGGAAATATGTAAAATACTACTACCAATCAAGACAGGTGATGAAAAATAATGATGGAATTATGTCAACGAAGTTAGAAATTTGTATGAGTAGTGCCTTGATATTTATTTATTTTAATTTTTTTATTTTTGAATTACAGCTTGATTCCACACCGTATTTTTGGTACAAGTATGGAATTTTCAGCACGGATATCGGTAACCCAAATTTTTCAGGCCGACCATAGATATCAGGTGTGCATCGGCAGCGGATCGAACCTCGGACCATGTGCATGGTCGGCGAGAGTCCTAACCACTATGCCACCGACGATGAGCAGCAATAAATTGTGCTCGAAACGTCGTCATCAATAAATGTCCATGTATAACATCACTGTGAGACTCTTCACCCACAATGGAATTATACTCTACCACAACAGCGCACAACTTCTATCCTTACCGGCGAGCCCACGCCGGCGCACACCTGATATCTATGGTCGGCCTGCAAAATTTGGGCTACCGATATCCATGCTGAAAATTCCATACTTGTACCAAAAATACAGTGTGGAATCAAGCTGTAAATCAAAAATCAAAAAAAATAAAAAAATAACAACAGCGCACAACTGCTATCCTTACCTCACAAAAACAACAGAGATCAGCTGTTATTCAAAATCCTAAATCACGAATTGGTAGAAGTTCGAATTCATGGGCTGGTGGCCACTGAATCGGGTCCCATTGCCTGAATGGTATACTAGCTTACTGGCCTTGAAACCAGAAAGCCTCGGTTTCTAACCCTGACTGGTGTTGGATGTATACTGCCGATGATTCCTAAGCAATAGGATCAAACAGTTGGCAGTCCAGTACTCCCCCACCCCCACCCAGCTGATTTTCAATGGTTCTCTAGCTGATATTAATCCGTGTTAAACTCGTCAAAAACACATCTAATCCATAAAAACTTAACTCTTAAACATCCGTATTCATGCTGTCAAGTCAACGTTTGGTTGTCGATGCTACAGCAGGATACTTTAAGATTACATATTAGTTTGTTTATTAGATGTATCACACAGTGAAACTGCATGAAGTTTTGAACAAAATTTATTGTTCAAAATCACATCAATTGTAATCACACAACTTTGAAACTCGAGCATTTTAGTTTCCTTTGTTCTCTCCTATCTGTGGTTGTTGGGGTAGTAGAATTTTCCAGATACCTAACTGGACAGGTGCTGAATCATTCCTATTGCATGTATTTGCAGTTGATTCAATAAATAAAGCTTCTGTTATCAATCTCTCCCCCCCCCACCCTGCTGTTACATCAGATTTTAAGACTGTCATCTTATCCCATCCATCCTATCGTATGGTTGTGAGTAATTGCATGTATTGAGTGCTACAGCTGAACTATTCTCTAGATTTCTTATCTTATTCGGGTCAACCAATCTAGATTTTGATAGGTTTTTATGTTCGGCTAGTCTGACTGACTGACCCTGTTCTACTAGTTTGATCTATGTATTTGACCTCACTGAAAATCATTGCATTGTGTTACATAGACTGAATTGTTTTGTTTTAAAGGCTCCATAAGAGGGAACCTTAAACCGACAAAGCTTGTTTCCAATTGAGTTTGTGGGTGGTTTGAATGTCAGTCACTTTTATTCCTGCCTGCCTTGTTAAGAATTCTGCGTAAGGCTTCCGAGGCTCCTTCCTTGTATAGGATTACTACTGATGTTTTAGATTCCTCATTGTTGGTGTCGTTATTATTATTATCACTATATCTACTATCATTATTTATTTTATTTTAACATTTCCTTACATATTTCCTGACTAATTTATCCGGATAATTATTAAGTTTCAAGGCTTCTTTTATGTGTATCACTTCCTGTCTTATATTTTCCTTGGTACTACATAGTTTTTGTGCTCTGTCACTTAAACATTTTACCAATCCTATTTTTACTGACATAGACTGCGTGGGATGATCGGAAGTCCAAATGTATCTGTTTGAATGTGTGGGTTTTCTGTAAACACACACTGGTGTTTAGCTTCCCATCTTCTTTCCTTTTTCCGTTGCAATCTAACATTGGAAGCTCCTCCACTACCTGACTTTCAAATTCATAAGTGAATTGAATTGCCTCTACCTTTGAGTTAATGTGTTCGAGAAATCTATCTATCTCCTGTGCTCTAACTACAATGAATGTGTCACCTACATACCTTCACCATACTTATCCAATCAACTGAAAGGGAATACGTGTAATAGGAAGGATTCAATATCTGTCCACCCAGATATCTGTAAAATTCTACTGCCCTAACAACGACAAATAGGAGAGAACAAAGAAAACCATAAAACTCAAGTTTCGAAGTTGTGTGATTATAATTGATGATATGATTATGAACAATCAATTTTGTTCGAAACCTTGTCATCCAGTAAATAATAATAATACTGTTTCACTGACTGTGGGTGTGATATATCCATCTAATAAACAAACTAATATGGAATTATCTACAACCGTAGTGACCAAGTTTTACACACACATATATTAATACTTTACGATTAACCAAAACACTGACATCAACAACACAACACACCCCAAAAACAAACAAATACCCGGATGCCAGTAATCATAATAATAATAATAGTAGTAATAATAACTTTTTATTGTATGTCCAAACCAAGCTCACTTTTAACGGTTTGAAAAAATTTGGGCAAGAAATCCAAATGAACTAGAAAAACTTCAAAAACCATCAGCCATAGGTCTACATGCTATAGAATCAGGCCATAAAATTGATTGTGACAATATTGAATTCATCATCCAGAAAAAGCATTTCAGAAATCACACAGAACGTTTCATATCATCGGAAGCACTCCATATCAACAAATGGAATCCAAAGTGTCTGAACAGGAATGATGGACTAAAACAGAATCTGATATGGTTACAACACCCTCCTCCTCCATGAAGTAGCAAAATCAACACAAATGTGATAAGCAAGTTCACTATGTAAACACACACTACTTTCATAATTCTACACACTGACAAAATCCAACAATCTACACTTGATTTTGTTATCTTTACCAATTCGCTAACTTGACAACCAAAAATGACCCTAGACTAACGAACGATGATCAAGTTAGTCAAGTTTGTTTTGATATAATAACAGATATACTATTACCTTTGATATTTTGGTTTGAACGATCTTCATTGTTATTTTGACTTTCAATATGTCCTTTTAAGTTGAACTAAGTCTATATTTTTTTCTCACCCCCTAACTCTTTGTTATACATATGCTGAGTGTATTTTGCAAATTCCGGTTTAATAATACTTTGAGAAAGCTATTAGCGTCATTAAATAGCGAAACGTCAGTAAAAAGTAGCAGGAATATCGTTTTGTTTTTCATTCATTTGGAAATACAAAAACCTCTATTATAATGAACTTTTTATGTGCTCTAAAATAAATAGTAATGGTAATGAAAAGCAATAATAATAACAATTATAATAGTAGTATTAGTAACAATAATAATTATAATAATTAATAATTGCACAGCCATGTAAACCAATGTCACCATAGTGATAAAAGGTAAAAGTAAAGACATCTTATCAATGAATTAGAATTAGTCATAGATATCACAAAGGCCGGAGAGGGGTGGGCTGCAGGTGTGTGTGTTTGTGTGTGTGGGAAACCCAACATGGTACAGCCAGAAGAAACAAGGAACTCATACTAGTAACAATAATAATAATAGTAACTAGGATAATAATATAGACAGTGGCGAGAGAAGCGCTTAAATTATGAAAACCATTGAGATAAAATAATAAATAAACAAATAAATAAACAAGTGAAATAAATAAATAAATATTGAAAAATGTCAATAATTTGTTTGTCTGTTTGTTTTTGTTGTGAAAAGTAAACAACGCGAACAAACAAACATGTGTTGTTTACCTGTTTATTCTGCATGTCTTAATTTTAAAGAATTTCGCACCCCTTTCCTTGTCTCACGCCCCCGCTCCCCAACTAACTGTCTGTCGTTATACATTAACTGGTTGATAGATGGATAGACAGACAGACAGACGGAGTAATAGATAGATGGATGGATAGATAGATAGACAGGCAGACAGACAGATAAGTCAGCTGTTTTTGAAAAACAAAAGGATCAATAAACAGCAAGATAAAAATAGAAAAAAAAACAGACACGTAATGAAATACACTGGTTTCATATGTTGAATTTCAGTAATAATAGTCACTCATAAGTAGTATGTGATATTGTCTGTATGTTGGTTGAACTAGGCAGTTGATTACCCTTATCCTCCTCTATTTTTTGGCTTTTTCCCATCTGATGAACTGTGCTGGTTAAAGAGACGAAGGTCATGTGTAACTGGGGGGGGGGGGGGTGGGACGGAAATCGGATGGAGAAGATATACACAGATATGATATGATACGATATGATGTGATATGATACGGTGTAATACACCTAACGACTAATAACTGTCTATTTTGGGATATGTTGAAATTTGAAGCTGATATGTTACGAGGGTGAGGAAGAGATAGACGGTAAGTTGGAGGAGTGGGTGAGTGGTTTGAAACTGTTCGAAATGATTATTATTATTATTATAGTTTTATATATATTGCATAAAGCCTAATTAATATTTTCATATATATATATTTATCAATTATCGATTGATATCAGATGATTTCGCGGTGATACTAATCTCTGGCATTAGACGTAATTCAGATATTGAATCGATTGATCTATCACGATTACCAGCTGCTGGACTGTGATGATGTTGATGGTGATGGCTATGAGAAGGTGGACGATGTTGATGTTGCTGTTGCTGTTGCTGTTGGTGCTGACCTCTTTGACTAGACATTGAATCTGATCTTAAAAGTCGTCTTTCATTTGTACTCTCATAGACTGAATTGGCATACTGTCCATCTGAAAACTGAAAATAGAGATAACAGCATGTGAGCAATAGTCAGGTTAACCTAGTCGTTACATTCTAGAGAATAATAAATCAGCTTGAGTAGACAGTTGGAATCCTCTGAAAACATCATAGCTCAGTATAGATCATGCTATGGTATTTGAACTGCAGTGGAAATATCATCACCCACTGGGAATGCAGGTTCATTCAAATGATGAATCCTAAATATACGATGAATTGCGCATCCTGGATACAATCTTTTATAATTGCTTCTGGTTCTCCTACCTGATGAGACAGACGCAAGGAAAGAGCTGTGTGTATGGAGAGGAGGCTCAGAGTCTGAGAAGATAAGATTCTCTAATTTCTTGCAGGCGTCTATGTGTCTATTTACAAAGGATTTACAGCGAATTGGTTTAGTGACATCTCACTCGCCCTACTGACAGCTTTAAGTGCACTTCTCACTGTGTAACAAAGTCTTTTTTAAGTAGCCCCGGGAAGATCATGCGACAAAGAAGAAGAATAGGTAGAATACAGGAATTAACTGTCTTAACCTGCATACGTAGGACGTTAAATTGTATATCTTTCTGGAAATTGACATAATGTGGGAAGACCAGGACACGTGATCAGTGAAAATGCACAGTCCAAGATATTTAACATACGACTCATTTCCAAATTTTGTGCCATTCATGATGGTGGGACTATGCGAACTAACAAGTTCCCATGTAAGTCGCATTCATTTGCGTGTCTAAAAACTAAATTAACAGCCTGACATTTTGAGGCATTTAGCTTAAGATCATTCTTTGAGAAGGAGTACTGACTGATTTCTGAGAAGGAGTTATTCATTTTGGAACCATTTGACTAAGAAGTAACGGGCAGCATAGAAATAGTCAGATCATCGACATACTTAACAAAAGTGGCTTTGTCAGAATGCGGTAAGTCCATGTAAGAAGAAAGAAAACAGAAAAGGAGAAATACAATGAGTAATAGATTATTCATGTATTGATTCTGAAGGGATTTTTTTTTGCTTAGATGGAAGATTTCATCAGGAGCTGACATTGGTTTCGTTCTAGTCTAGGACTCTTCATCAGTATGCACCCACCGGATGGGATCGGAACCCAGGACCTTCGTAGACCACTGGGCCACTAAGACCCGATCCAATGATCAGTCCATGAATTCTAACTTCTGTTAATTCATGAAATAGCACGATCATCTCCACCTTCAACCTTCTGTACTCTGCTTGTTGCAGCTTTCCACTAGGTCCTGGGTTCGAAACCCGGTGGGGGTGTGTGTGCTGATGAAGAGTGGCATACTAGGACGAAACAGCATCCACAGGTTTTCAAGTGGTTCTGTAGATAATAGTTTCTTGTTTAGCTTGCCTAAGATCGACTAAAGGATCCTACGATGAGCTGAGAAAGGCGGTAACTTGAACTCTAAGCAAGTACCAGCTCTAATCTACCAGGAGAGTCAACTTAACTGTTGCAGAAAATATTTTAAAAAACAATCTTGTCACACAATATACTACTTTTAAATCCGTATTAGTATTATACAACACATCACCGATAGATACTATTAAATATAACGGAATTCAAAATTTGAATAAAATGGTGGGTATATAGTGTTGATTATGACGCAGATTTGAATACCCACCCAGAGAATGTAAGGAAAGTAGAAATTTTCACATAGTACAATTAAAAAATGAGTGTTTGGTGTGTGTGTGTGCGTCACTGTGCGTATGTATTTGTGAAATTTTTACTCGACAGGATAAAATGAAAAATCAGAATTCAACGGTTGAGTTGCACAATCAATAGAAACGTGAGAATATTTATGTTTATATGACTACAATAAGCAAATAGAATTATTTACTTTTCAGTCGATACTATTACTGAGAAAGAAACCTGATTTTCTTGTTCAGTGTTTATAAAATGAAACAGCGTCATTATTTTTCACGAGTTGATCACGGACTGATATCAGTTAGAGAACCAACCAGGGGGGTACTGGACAGCTGCTGTTTCATCCTAGTTTGGGAATAATCGGAAGTACGCACCCTCTGGGATTCGAAACCATTACCTTCCGGTTACAAGGCAACCTGGCTCGTATACCATTAAGCCGCTGGGAAACGATTGAATGGCTACCTCATGAATTCTAACTTTATCAATTCGTGATTTAGCGCAACTGGGGCCAAACAGTGTCGTCGGTGGGATATCCATCCACACACACGTGACATCTAACTGGACCTCACTGGTCACGACTTCTCACTAAAACTCCAGGAAACTCCATCCTGTAGCAAGTCAGTAACAAGCATTAGATTAATTTTCTATAGTTTTGGTTCGTAAGGGTTTGAACTGTGGTCACTTGGTGCACACCTCTGAAAAGTCCCAAGTACTAGGTCGAAACAGCTGTCTAGCAGTACTTCCAGATGGTTTTCCAATGGTTCTCTAACCGATGTCAGCTCACGATTAAATCCTCTAACTAGACAATAATATTAATAGCTAAAATGATAAGATAATAGTGTCACTATAGATGGCGAACAGGAGAAGAGGATAAAAGAGCCAAACATTTTGCTAATTACATTGTGAGTCGTAAATTTTTCGTTTAACACAATCTCTGTCACACATAATATCGGCGAAACATGGTATCTTTGAGCTTTTATATTGACTTCTGGTCCTACCTGATGCGATGCTAGTGTGTCTGTGTGGGGGGTGGGGGAGTTGTAAATTTTGGTAGTTGTTGGTTGGAATCTAAATCATCAGTAGTAATTCCATACAAGGAAGGAACCTCAGAAACCACCTTACGGCGGCGAATTCTTAACAAGGCAGGCAGGAATAAAAGTTTCTGGAATTCAAACTAACCACAAACTCAATGAGAAATAAGCTTTGTCGGTTAAAGGATCATTCCTGTGGAACCGTTAAAAGATAAAGCAATTTAGTTTATTTCATACCCTGCCTCCAATGATTGTCAAGTCAAATACATAGGTCAAAGCAGTAGAACAGGGTCAGTCAGTCAGACTAGCCGAACATAAAAACCTAGCAAAATCTAGATTGGTTGACCCAAATAAGAGAAGAAATCTAGAGAATAGTTCAGCTGAAGCACTCAATACATGCAATTACTCACAACCATACGATAGGATGGATGGGATAAGATGATAGTTTTAAAATCTGATGTAACAGCACGGTGGAGGGAGTGATTGATAACAGAAGCTTTATTTATTGAATCAACTGCAAATACATGCAATAGAAATGATTCAGCACCTGTCCAGTTAGATATCTGGAAAATTCTACTACCCCAAACAACCGCAGATAGGAGATAACAAAGAAAACTAAAATGCTCGAGTTTCGAAGTTGTGTGATTACAATTGATGTGATTCTGAACAATAAATTTTGTTCAAAAATTCATCCAGTAAATAATACTGTCTTAATGACTGTGTGATACATCTAATAAACAAGCTAGTATTGAATTACTTACTACCACAGTGCCCAAGTTTGACACATATATTAATATGTCTGATTTCTCACAAAGTGGGAGATATGCAAGCGAAACAAGTCGGCAGAAGAATCACCTAGAGAATATAGGACCTCATTCAGGTGGTGACAGAGGTGATGAAGATTCCTTGCCAACAGCAACAGTAACAACACCAGACAAAAATCAGCAAAAACGAGATAATTCTGAAAGTAGCCACCTCCTTTACCTACCTACCTACCTACGTACTTGAGAAGCATTATTTCAACTACACGCGGACGGGACTGATAAGGATATCAAAGTGCGGGAATCGTTAAGCAAGGCAAGCTCTCATTATTATCAAGTCTTCGTGGAGGTCAACAGCAGTACTCAACATGGAAATTAAGATCCGGATTTTCAACTCCAATGTGAAATCAGTGCTACTATACGGATCAGATATTTGCCGCCGTGTCACTAAGTTCACTTCGAACAAACTACACATTTTCATCATCATCATCATCATCAGCATCTGATTCCACTGAATACTACTCAAGATCATATGGCCACCTGAAGATGTCAGTAATAGTGAGAGCGAACCAACCCAGTAGGAACCAAATGTGCAAGAAATATGCAGGAAGAAATGGAGGTTAATTGGCTGGCCATACTCTGAGAAAACAAACCATCAAGTAAAATCACACGTCAGATTCCTTCTCTCTCTCTCTCTCTCGAGTGTAACTCGAATAGGAGGTGACGAGTTGGTCGTCAGTGTGAGGGTAATATGAAGGAGGAGGTGATATGAAGAGACGATGAAAGCATGTGGGCAGACGTACAGCTAGGTGAATAAGTCGGTGGCGAACGGAACGCAATGAAGACCTGTGGCTGTTCCTCTAGGAAATAACGGAGAAGTCGATAACTCATGGCTAATTTGTGTTATAAAAGAGAAGATTTGCTAGTCAGAGATGGGAAAGTCTACTAGAAAGTTGTTTATTGTTCACAGTGACTTCAATCGATGCGTTTATGTGGACATTCAGCAGCCTCAGATGATGACAAGATCTCAAAGCAAAATCCCAATGTACACTGTGCTTGAAGACACAAGCTTAGAGTAATAATAATAACGTTAACAAGCAGCTACAAACTTTGATTAGCCACTAGTTAGTACTTCGTATCATTTGTCTAGTCCTTGGTGTTTGCTGAGGTGCGAATTCTTTCATCAATCAAGTGTGCAATATGGCTACCATTCTAGGTGGGTCGATTTCACAGCACACTCTGAGTTGTTGTTGTTGCTGCTGTACGACGGTTGGAGGCAGCCGACCACAAGAAGCCCTGCTTGACCTAAGTTTCATGCCAGCTGGCATTCAGAAGTCAGCAAGGCTTATCTGAAATTCTGATAGAATTCAATCCACACCAAACAAAGAACTAGACACACATTACACAAGTTACTACCAGTGAAACTATCCAATACAGTAGTCCTACAGGATGTCAATGGAGAGCTCGATTAACTCATTGATGACATTTTCTTACTGCAGCACTGCACTGGGTGACACGGTTTTGAATCTAAAGATAGACGTGAGTTCCTTGTTGACTAGTGCCAACTAGCCCGTAACCTAGATCCCAACAGTGTTTCCTGCAGACTGCCTTCAACCATCTAATAATAATAATACTCACAAAATAAATCAATATCGAATAAGAAAACAGAATCAAACTTGGCATAGTAATAGAAATCAATACTCACCTCTGTAAATACAGTTGGTTTACTTAGATCCGATTTCCTTCCGCTTACATCTCTTCTTAGATCACCGTAACGTGAGACAGACTGGTAGTTATTTTTACCTCTTCCAATGTCTATTACATCATCTTTATTATTATTCGTATTATTATTATTATTACTACTACTGCCAGTGTTTGCAGTGGAATAACGTGAAATCGACGGTGAATCCATTGTCAGCATACCGGGTGATATTAATGATGTTTGTGAATGTGCTGGCGTCAATAGATCGACAGCTGCTTCATGAGCTTTATTCAATTGTGACCAAACAATCGCTTGTTGATTAGTCATTTCAGCATGTGATAATCGCATATTTGATTCAGCAAGTTTACTCATCAATTCCATTTCTTTAATACGTTGACCAACTTTAAACTCTCGATGCTAAATTTTTCATTAGTTTTGTGGGAAGAAATGAGAAGAAAAGAAAAAGAAATCGATTAAAAGGCTACATATACTACTGATTGGTTGATCGATCGATCGATATGAGTAGTTTGGAACTACGTAGTCAGTCAAGTCCACAATGTGGCCATCATTATAGGTGGCTGGCTATCACGCTACACTGTGAACTGTTGGTATTAAATAGTTGGATATAATTTCCCTCAAGGTTAAAAAAATATACCTTACTGACGGGTGCCAACTAGCACTAAACCTAGGTCAGACAAGGCTTCCTTCCAATTGCCTCCAACTATCTAGTACGAACAAGTCTTTTGCTAGTTTGGCGATGTATTCTTTAGCGCTGTACATCGTTTAACTCAACTCAGAAAGCCAAATCAATTCACACCATCCGAATATCCCATTAGTATTTTGTCCGTCTTCTTGGCTGCTATTTACGGTGTCAAGTAGATCACAGATTGTGATCTGAATATCTTTGGTTTCCCAATGAAACTGTGGAGATTTTTAACCTCAGGATATGCTATTTCCGAATGACGTTTAAACCCGCCTAATTATTATTATTATTGTTTCCTTTAATTCCTAGAGGAACAGTGAGCTTCAGCCAGACTTCCCCATTGCATTCGGTTCGCCACCAACGTTTTCACCTGGCTCAACATCTGTCGATATACTTTAATCTCCTCTCCACATCACCTGCTTCACGTCACCACTGCACTGAAGACCAACTCATCGATTCCCACTCAGGTTCCACTGGAGAGAGCCTGTTGTGGGATGTCACTTGATGGTCTGTTCTCTCAGGGTATGGCCAAGCCAATCCGCCTCCGTATTTCACGCATATTCGTTGCACAGTTGGTTCCTGCTGGATTGCTCCGTACATTGCTAGAGATCCCTCCCTACTGGTGATCGTTTCTGGCTAGCCATCTGATCTGGAGTAGTATTGAGTGAAGAAACCTGTTGACGAATGTCTGTAGTTTGTTCGAAGTGGCCTTCGTCACGTGACGTGACGTGATGCGGCGCCATCTGTCATCCATATAGTAGCACTGACTTCATATTGGAGTTGAAAATCCGAATATTATTTTTCCTGCTGAGTGCTGTTGGTCTCCATACAGACTTGAGGGTACTCTAAGCTTGCCTTTGATGTTTCTTTTGCCAACTTGTTGCTTTCCACTTACATATCTTCTAGTTTTTGAGAAAACAGGCGTATATCAGCTGCGAAATCCAGATCCTCCAAGATTTTTGTGTGGTTCCACTTCATGCCTGTCCTCTCGTTGCCCGCCACTGTCTGTCTCATTAACTAGTCTACCGCAATCAGGAAATTAATCATTAGAGATAACAGGCAGCTGGCCAGCTTGTCTTACTCCAGTCTTCACTTCGAAGGATTCCGTGAATTTCCCGTTGTGGATTATTTGGCACGCAGCATTACTGTACAGCTGTTGGATGAGATGTATAATTGTTGGCAGCACCCCTTGGTAGTAGAGAAGTAGTTGCTAAATCACTTCTCGATCGACGCTGCACTGTCTAAGGCCTTTTCAAAGTCAGTAGAGTTGAGTGAGATAGAGAGCTGACTGCCATTCCAATCTATGTTCAATAATGATCCGTAGTGTCTCGATTTGATCGATGCATGACTTGTTCCTCTTGAATCCAGCCTGTTCCGGTCGAGGTTTTTTTCATCCAGGTTGGCATGTTTGATTCTCTCCAGGATGATGTGGCTTAGAATTTTACATAGGATAGACAGAAGCATAGTGCCGCGCCAGTTTTTGCATTGACTTAATTAAGTCTCTCTTTCTTTGGTAGTTTGAATAAGTATCCTTTCTTCCAATCCTCGGGTACTTTGCCCTCTTTCCACACCTTCTTCAGCAATATCATCATCAAGTCCGCTGTTGTCTCTGGGTTCATTTTCAATGCTTCTGCTGGGATTCCAACTGGTCCTGCTGCTTTTCCAGTGTTTCTTTTGCTCCACCTGTCTGGTGATTAACCTTCCGATGTCATCCTTCACTGGGTTAATTTGTGTTGATCTCTACCCCAATTGAAACCTAGTTGTTTGGTGGAGTGTTGCGAGGTCTCCTTTGCCTTCAGCTTGCTCTGCTTCACTTTACATGGCTTCATAATATTTTCTTTTGTCTTCCCTGCCACTCTTCTTTACTCTTTTGTTCAGTGTGTTGTAGCTTACATTCAACTCCTGTTTTTGTTTACAATTGGTGGATGGTGACAAGCAGTGGAATCCAGGATCCGCATTTCATCATATTTGGGACTCGTCATCTGGATGTACCTGCATTTCTCAGTGAGTGATGATGTTCCCACCGAGGCTCGAACCCAGTACCCATAGTTTCAAACGCCAAAGTGTTATCCACTAGACCACTTGGGCCACGAGAGCCACCTCTTATGCAACGGGTCATATTATTATTGAATTGAATTTTTGATTTTCCCGTCTATTGATTGGACCGATCTATCACCAAGACCGAACACTTCGGTCCAATCAATCGACGGGAAAATCAAAAATTCAATTCAATAATTAATATAACCCGTTGCACAAGAGGCGGCTCTCGTGGCCCAAGTGGTCTAGTGGATAACGCTTTGGCGTTTGAAACTATGGGTACTGGGTTCGAGCCTCAGTGGGAACATCATCACTCACTGAGAAATGCAGGTACATCCAGCTGACGAGTCCCAAATAGGACGAAATGCGGATCCTGGATTCCACTGCTAGCCACCATCCATCAATTGTATACTAATTAAATGCCCAGACATCGTCGAAGCATATTCATAAGAAGCCGACATGTCAACCTGAGACCGAGTACTTCGGTCCAATCAATCGACGGGAAAATCAAAAATTCAATTCAATCCTGTTTTTGTTGCTCATCGATGCATTGGATAATCTTTTGTTTCACTGTCCTTCCATTTCCGGTTAGTTTTCATAAATATGTGCAACTATTATTGCTCATTAACAACATTTCACTTCGCATAGAGACTTCATCTAATCACTCTGTCGTATTTCTAATATCCTTTGTTCATTTTGTCTAGCAAGATTGGTTGGGTCATTTATTTGTCACCTATTACGTAATAGTAGCTTTTCAAGTCTAAAAATTACTTGTGTACTATTAGTAACTGTCAAGTTAGGTCATGAACTGACTTCATTTAAAGAGCTACTGAAAACCAAGGCGTACTAAACAACTGTTTCGGCCTAGTTTGTGACACCTCAGCAGTACATACCCATAACTCCAGCGGGAAATATGTCATGCGAAAAAAAGCACATTAGTAAATGGCTACAGGATAAAGTTGTTTGGAGTTGTAAATTGCAAGTCGTGACAAATAACAATGGCACCGCGATAGAATGCTGGCTGACCCCGCCTCATGTGGTCCGGGGTTCGATTCCCGGCCACAGACGCACTCCCTTACATCGCTAAGACAGCAACAAGACTGGTAAAGTGGAAACGTTGGGCATAAGACAGGCTAGCGACCCCATCTCGTAAAATGAAACACCACTGCTACAGAAACTCCAAGCCTCTAGCTTGAAATCGCCCTATGTTCCACTGGCAACGTAAAGGAATAAAAAAAATGCCAACCTATTGGCTAAATGGTCTGAAGGTTTGTCTCATGACTTGAATCTCCTAAGTGTGATCCATAAAGGGTGGGGTCATGGGTGTATATAACTGAATAGTGTCGAACAAGGACCAAAAACAAATAGGTATAGAATACTATGTGACTTTCAACGATCGTTCCTTAACCAATGTCATTTCATAAGTGCCCAAGTTGCCGAAGTTCAACATTCATGGCTAGTTAATTTAACATGAATTAATATTTACAGAGCTTACTTCAGCTTCCAGTTGAAAGATACGAGTTTGTAAATTTCTAATCTCTTGTCTTAATTCTCTATCATTGGCGACAGCATCTTCTAGCTCAGACATACGAAATGAATTGATGGCTTCCAGACGATCAATATGACGTTGAAGTGTTTGACATCTGGATTGTACTCTTAATACCTAAAAAAGAAGAAAGCAAATATAAATAATAATAATAATCTACTTTATTCCAAAATGAGGAGTACTTATAATATGAGAGACAAAGGACAATGTTGTGCCCAACTAAACAGGACTGCAGAAAGTTGAACAAAGTGAAGATGTGCTCCGGTTGAAGCTCTACGTCTCCTGAGGATATAAGGGCACAGTAACAACTATAATAATAAAACCAACTCACTAGTGAATTCAGAATCATTTCTATTAATACCAACCAGTGCCCATTACACAAAAATGGTATCTAACCCATTTGGTGACAATTTGACGTTTGAAGTGAAAGGTGCTTGGTTCGAGTCCCAGCGAGAATATCACCACTCATTCAGTAAACTTACTCTGCAGGTAGACCGAGCTGATAAATCCCAAATGTAGTGAGATGCGAGTACTAGATACCACTGGTAGACACAGTCGATCAAATGTTAATAAAATACTCTTTCTGCTCGCTACTGCAGACATATCTGCAGTTCAGTGGTAGACTCTTCGCCTACCAATGACATGGTCCAGGTACGATTCCTGGCAGATGAACTCCTAAACCTCGTTTAGTTCTAAACTCCAAAAAAAGGGAAGACCAGATGTTAGGCTAGGCTATCCTACCCTTCATAAACACCACCCCTGCTAGTGGAACTTCAAAGCTCAAGCTTTAAGCCCCACATTCCACACGGAACCCCCCCCCCTCCATGCCTCCCCCACAAAACATGATAATCAGATACAAAAATCAAATTAAATCGATAAAAAAAAGAAGGCAAATCAACTTACATCCAATCTAGTTTCTCTTAATTTCAATAAAGCTCTAGCTTCACCTTGTCTTGCTGCAAAAGCTTCCATTCTAAAATCAGGTTTTGATGTAGGCCAACCAAATGATTGTCTCAATGATGCTCTTAATCGACTCAATCGATCCCCAAGTCTTTTTTCATTCATTCCAGTCTCATATGGTTCTGTTTCAGAATGGCATGATTCTGTTGGTGTCGGTGTATCAATTGAACCACGATTATGAAAGTGAGCTGGATCATTTGAACATGGTGAGACTAATTCACTACGAAATCCATGCATTGTAGCATGATCTGCAGCACTACTACGACTTCTACGTAATAATGAAACAAATCCTCTTGGACGATTTGATTTTGAATCCATGTCTATATCATCTTCATCTTCAGGGACACCACCACCACCACCACCACCACCACCGGCACCGGCACCGGCACCGGGAACACGACTTTTATCTCGACGATGTGAAGGTGATTTTGTCTGTTGGTTTATATCTGAATGAAAGCTATACTGTGGTTGAGTTAAACGTCTACTAGGATTACTAGAATAATCGTAGCTATCTATTCCAATGCCCAGATTTGCTCTTCCTGAAGCTGGTGTTGTAATACCATCTCTACCGTCTGATGTAGTATGACTTGCCAGACTACAACCACTATCACTTTGTGGAGAATCTAGTCCTGATCGCTGAATATTCCTTGTGTATTCACCGTCTGGATCGTTGGTAAAATGTGTTGGATATGATTCATTCTGAAGACGTGAATACATTCGACTAGAGGCATTAGTATTAGTGTTAGTGTTAGTGTTACTACGACTATAGATTGACTTATTGCTGGATGGTGATACAATCTTTTGAGGACTTTCATCGCCTAAATACGGTGTCATTCTTTGATCTTCCACGTCGGATAGATTGTGTTGTGGTGAAGAATGATGAGTATTATTTGAGGAAGAAGGAGGAGGCGGCGGCGGCGGCGGCTGAGGATATTTCGCAGGTGAATTATTCTGACTTGTAGTATTTCCTTGTGATGGTTTCTTTAATGACAAACTTGTTGGTGATATAGTGACAGCATTGAAAAAATTCTCCATCTCAGGATCCTTTTTAAAAATATAAAATAAAATAAAAGAACAGAAGGTGATAGTGAGAGAGAGAGAGAGAGAATTAGCGACAAAAACTCACTGAAGCAAATGTATGAGTCTAATTTATTAAATTTCTACTTATCCATTTACTTTCTCAGTGGAATAGACGGCTAGAGGCTAGAAGTTTCGGTAGCAGAGGTGTTTATTTTTACGGGATGCGGAATGGGGTTGCTATCCTTATGCCCAAACTTTCCTCTTTACCGGGTTTATTACTGGTTTAGAAAGGTACAGAAATGCGTCTGCCGGAAAGTGAACCCCAAGCCATATGTACCATTATTATTATTGTTCCTTTGGGTTCCTAGTGGAACATAGGGCTTCACTTGCACGTCTCCACCCACTTGCTTCTGTCTTCCTTCGGCTGTACTTTTCACCTACATCATCCATGTTACTTAGTCCATACTCTTTCAACTCCTCTTCACACCATCTCCTCCCTCCAGTCACCCTTGCACTGACGATCTACTCGCCGCTTCCCTTTCGGCCTGGTTCCACTCGAGCAACGGCCTGACGCGCGCGCGATGTCACCCAGCGACCCCCCCTCCTCAGCGAGCGAGTGTCCAATCCATCCATCTCCGCTTTCTCCTGCATATTAGTTGGTTGGCGATTGATTCTTGTTTTGTTTGTTTGTTCCCATAGTTTCTTATTGGTGGTGATTCTTTCGGGCCCGGCCATTTGATCTGATCTGATCTTCAGTATAGAGCCAGCGAAGACAGCTGTTGATGAAGGTAACGTCTGCAGTAGCCTGTTGGAAATATTCTTTGTGACCCGCCCGCCAACTTTCTGATCCGTTCCGTAAGGAAGAACTGACTGACTTGACGTTTGGATTGAATTGAATCCGACCGAATATTGTTATTGATGCTGGCCGAGTGACGACGATTTCTAGATTGGTTGTTTCAGGTTGATGAATGTGTTTCTCGGGTCCTAGTGGCTCAATGGTCTACGAGCTCGCCTTGTAACTGGAAGGTGCTGGGTTCGAACCCCGGTGGGTGCGTACTGCTGAGGAGTCCCTAACTAGGACGAAACAGCTGTCCAGTACTCCCAGGTTTTCCAGTGGTTCTCTAACTGATGTCAGCTCATGATTAAATCCTCCATAAAATCAAACCAAATCCCTACAAAACCAACACTTGAAAATATATGAAAAAGTTAAATTAATCAAAGTGACAAAAAAAGGATTTAAGAATAATTAACACAACGTTTGGTAATCCAATCAAATAAGGATTACCAAGGTAGATTAAGAGTAATAACAAACTGTTTTTGAATACCACAGAGGAGGGAGAGGGCTTAAGTTTATGAATAGCTGTGGCCTCGGCGTTTTTCAATAAGCGCCCTTGAATATTTATATAAACGGCCTTAGAGGCTGAGTTAACATCAATCGTACGGTTCATCTCAATTAGATGTTTAGCTATAGACGAATTTGGTAGTCTGCCACCTGCATCTATTGGCTTGTCACAATTCATCTCTTTTTCTAACCATTTTGGGATATGCTCTCCCGCCCTCACGTGCAAAGCGCGATTACTCCTCCCTATGTATCCACACACACACAAAAATTGGTAAATTGTATGTATTTTTTTTTAAATTTTTTGATTTACAGCTTCATTCCACACTGTATTTTTGGTACAGGCATGGAATTTTCAGCATGGATATCGGTAGCCCAAATTTTTCAGGACGACCATAGATATCAGGTGTGCGTCGGCGGGGGTTCGAACCTCGGACCATGTGCATGGTCGGCGAGAGTCCTAACCACTGTGCCACCGACGGGATGTGATATAATCACTTGTGCACTTTTGAGGTTTGCAGTGGAGCATATTTTTTAGCTATATCAACAATTACAAGCTGGGCTGCATAGTAGGTTCTACGGATGATTGAATTCAACCTTTGTCTCAAAATCCTACTGTTTATTTCCCCGTTATATGGTAATTTGATGAAAACATTTTTCTTAGGGGCTGTATAAATTGTAGGTTTAGAGACTAATTGACTTCTACACCCGTTTAAAAATTTTTTTTAAAGGATATCCATTTTCAACAAGAGTATCCATCAATATTTCGTTTTCTTTGTCTATAACATCAGTCAGCCGTAGAAATACGTTGAATCCTTTTGAACAGATACTTCACCAAGCCTCTCTTATACTGTAATGGACAGAAGCTAAGAAAATTAAGGTATTGCCCTGTCCAAGTGGACTTTCTGTTCATTGATCGTCTTATTGAACCGTCGTCTCTTCGACTCAGAAGAGAATGTTTAAAAATGCAAGCTGGTTGCGACTTTCTTCATCGCATATAAGACTAATATGATTCTGAACGAAGAATATTCTCTTCAATAAATTCTCCTCTTCAGGTTCTTACAATTATAAAATATAACTGTTGTCGTTACAACAAAGGCCAGTTATGCGGCGGATACATTTTCTACGTGGAATAACAGATCAGTAGTTATGAGGTGTCAAAATAAATAGTCGTATTTGTGTGACAAACGTGCTGTGGGCTGAAATTGATTAGCAAATATTGTAAAACAGGAGACAATACTGGTGATGAATCATGATAGATTTGTAGAGTGTGGGGTAGGAAAATTGACGATTCAGTTCAAGGTTATCGAAGATGTCAGGTGAGTGAGTGGCTAGTACAAAGTGGTCTGAGTTAAACAGGAGATAGTAAGACTTCAATAAGAGGGTTCATAATGAGATAACGAATATGTTGAATGAAACAGGTGGAGGCCTATATTGAGAAAACAGATAATATCACTAATAATAAGTCCGGATAATATAAATGGAAAATTCGATAGTATTGAGGGAATGCCCCCACCTGCGGACGCACTTCTTTACCCCGCTAAGCCAGAAATGATGCCGGTAGAGAGGAAAGGTTGGGCAGTGCGGCTAGCAACCCCATCCTGTAAAAAAATCAACACTGCTACAGTAACTTCAAGCCACTAGCTTGAAGCTGCCCTATATTCCACTGGGGAACGTGAAGGAAAGCAAAAAAAAACACTACAATTCTATCATGATTCATCACCAGTATTGTCTCCTGTTTTACAATATTTGCTAATCAATTTCAGCCCACAGCACGTTTGTCACACAAATACGACTATTTATTTTGACACCTCATAACTACTGATCTGTTATTCCACGTAGAAAATGTATCCGCCGCATAACTGGCCTTTATTGTAACGACAACAGTTATATTATATTTTATAATTGTAAGAACCTGAAGAGGAGAAATTATTGAAAAGTTTATTCTTCGTTCAGATTGACTTTTAATTCATGGAATATGGGAAGATTTTACACTATCAAAACTTATAATATGATTCTTTACAGAGTTAAGTTTGATTTTTTTTTTATTTTGATTTTTGATTTACACCTTGATTCCACACTGTATTTTTGGTACAAGTATGGAATTTTTAGCATGGATATCGGTAGCCCAAATTTTTCAGGCCGACCATAGATATCAGGTGTGCGTCGGTGCGGGCTCGAATCCCGGACCATGTGCATAGTCGGCGAGAATCCTAACCACTGTGCCACCGACAAACAGACGATTCAGTCAACAAGGTAGAGAGGGTGACATACATACATACATACATACATACATACATACATACATACATACACCCACACACACACAAAATCAGCCATTTACCAAAGCATTGTTATAGTCTCCTATCAAATAACTAAATAAAGTAGATAAAAACACTTGTTGAATCATTTACGCTTGTTACCCTAGCAACGTTCAAGGTGTTTATTTTGAGACATTTGAAACAAATTTATCTCTGCGTTCGTGTGTGTGTGTGTGTATATATATATACATATACATTTAATATGAAGCGTTGTTTAGTCTACCAACACAAACACCCACCCACTCACGCACACACACATAGATAGATATCAAGATGCTGTGATGAGTATATCTCAGATGACTTGCCTACAGATTCTGATAAAACTAAATGAAACAATCAACTTTAGAATGTCTGTAAGGCATATTTTAATGGGATGTTTATTTTTACAAAAGGCAGGCAAAAACAATAGAAAAACGAATAACAAGATAAAACGATATCTGTTTGTAAATATTGAACTGTTAGTTAGTAAGTCAATCAACCATCAATCAATTAGTATAGATAGGCAAGTAGATACAAAAAAAAAATAGTAGACAGATAGACGCAGAGAGAGAGAGAGAGAAAGATTAACTCTATTACTCATCCGATTTTCAACTGTTTGGGTGTTATTCTTCCTCAGAAAAGAGAGTGAAAGAAAGAACTGAAGATTCCTAGAGGAACATATAGGGCCTCAGGTGCACGTCTTAATTGCGTTCGGTTCTCTGCCATACTACTCCAACACCAAAGCTCGAGTCCGAGTGAACGGTGAAGAGTCCCGCACTTTTGAGGTAACCAGCGGTGTCCGGCAAGGTTGTCCAGCATCCCCCATCCTGTTCAATTTCACGATTGATTGGATTTTGCGGCATGCCCTAACCGAGCACCACGGCGTCCAACTTTCGCCCGATATTCACATAACCGACCTCAAATTCGCCGACGACGTCGTGCTGTTAGCTGAAAACTTCCCCGATATGCAACAGGCGCTCGACCAGATAAATCACCTCACGCCTACTATCGGTTTGAAAATTAACACTTCCAAAACTAAAATGTTTTCGAACACATCCACCAGCAATGATGAAATCTTATCCCTAAATGGAGCACCTATTGAAATTGTGCCATCCTTCAGATATCTGGGATCCATAATGCTCCCCAACGGCCAAGCGAAAAACGAAGTGAATTCGCGAATCTCCAACGCTCGGAACGCGTTTCTACAGCTGAGGAGCGTTCTATGGAGCAAGAGAGAAATCAGTCTCAGGACTAAAATTCGGGTCTACCAAGCTTCCATACGACCCGTTCTCCTGTATGGCTGTGAAACTTGGCCTCTTCGCGCGGAAGATTTACGCAGACTCGAGGTATTAGACCATTGGTGTCTCAGGTACATTCTGCATGTT